ATGTGTCTTGAATTAGTAGAGTAGAAGGCAGCCTAGAAAGGCTGCCTGCTCTAATCAAATGAAAGAAAGCAGAAAGATTCCTACTGTGCTGCAATCATTTGCTGCACAAGATACATTTCAGGAACACAGTAAGCATGGGATTCATTCCGTTTTGTAGCAGTCCAGTAGTTCTAACCTACTAAATGTATTTGCTCAGATGAAGTAGAAATGCAGATGCATTTTGACTTGTCCCGTTGAACTATTTTTTTTCTTTCTATGGAACTGCATAACTCATTTTGGTTTTTTTTGAAATAGAAATTACTTGGTTGCAGTTAATGCAATTAAACTAGCAAAAGAGTAGCCAGAAGCAAGCTATTTATTTTTATTCTAAAGCAAAGCCTAGTAGCTGTATTTTGATTTGGAGATTAATTAGTTAAATTTAAAAATATAATGAGAACAGCAATCTCACAATGCATACATATATATATAACTAACAGTGATTAATAATATGCTGTGTCCACATCATGTGGTTTTCTGATTTCCTCTAATCAAGAAACAAGGATAGGAATGCGAATCTAGGTATTAGAGGGAAAACGAGCTACAGCTACAAAGAAGTCTGCTTTGACAGCAGCTGACAACAGTTCCCAGTACAAACAGCTCACAGGGATCATTCCTGTTTTTCCAGGATGAGGGTTTTTCGTGGTTATTCTGTTTGGAGAAGGGTGGCTTGTTTAATTTTGTTTTACTTTTAAAAACTTGGCCTTTTATTTTCTTTCTGAACTGAATAAAATTATTAGGAGTGAAAACTAGAACTAAATGCTCTTTTCCCATAGGTTTCCCTAATTTTTTTTCTTCTCAGCTGTGCATACACCTCCAGCAATTTTCAACTGACTCTTCTCAAGTGAATTTATTAGATATAATAGAGAAATAGCTCTAGGAGCAGGGATCAGAAGCTAGGATTGCCTTACCAAATGAAAGCTTGCCATTAAGATGCCACATTCATATTTTCTTAGAGGCTTTCTTTCTATACCATTAATCTTGATTTCATTCTTACATAGTGATGGCAGAGCACTGCAAATAGAGGTCAGATGGTCTGTTGCCCATGGTAGTGGAAGAGTTTTGCTGATTGATGGAAAATGGGGCTTTAAATTCCATGGAACTGATGAGAGAGTTTAGCATAGACACTCATGCATTGAGATATAAGCTAAGCAATTACAGAGCAATGTGGGTATCATAGATATTGGCTGTAGTTCCTGTCTCTGTCCTTTCTGTTTTCAGGCTTCTGGGCAGCCTAGACTGGGGCACTAAACTGCCTTCCTAAATCACATAGCTACTCATGGCTGTTTGCAACTCTGTGGCAAACTAAATAGTCATCCTCTTACCTGGTCACTCCCCTTCTGTGACTCTTGCTCTATGATGATACCTTCCTGTGGATCAGGTTAGGTAATGGAAACATCTAGCTGCAAAGCATAGACATCCACCTGAGCTGATGCATGCTATTTGATTGCTTCCAATATTTCAGATAAATCATTTATATCTCAGTGCATATGAATATAACCTGTTCTGATGTCTGTAGTATTAATATGCCTGCCTTCATTTAAAATGAGTATTAATTAAATAAATATAGTTAGCCCATTCCCAGTGTTAGCCAATAAATATAGTTAGCCAATCTCATGCAAGCAAGTCGATGTGCCCAGGTCAGCATTATCCATGGCAAGAAGGAATACCAAGAACACAGTGGGGGAAAAAAAAAAAGGGAGAATCCTATTATCAGTTTAGTGTTATGAATATTTCCCTTATACAGCTGTGCCTGATAATTAAATTTAATTTTATATAGGAGCTATAGGGAATCATAAAACGTTGCATAGTCCCAGTATTCTGATCTGATTTCTGTGCTACCAACTGAATTGCCTTGAATATTCCACCTATCTTTGCTACCTGTAGTAGCCCTAAAATAGAAATAAGCAGGCCAGATACAGCTCGGTGCTATGAAGAAAGGAACAGGGTTTTCTCTTCACCTAGGGCCTCATGTACAAAACTGCAGTAGTTGGCTTTACCTTCCTTCATGTCCTCCCACAAATCCACATTTTGAGGAAGGTAACATTTTGTTTTTTGTATGCTGAAGACAAGAATCATAATGAGTAGCTGATAAATCAAACATAACAAGAAACTATGCCAATAAACAGTGAGAAGTATTATAGCATAGAGGTCTGTACTCTCTGATTTTACATAATTTTTAATGTAACTGAACATACGACACAGGGCAAGGGCAAAGATTAAGTTCTGCCTGCTCTAGCAGGATTCTCTTGCTTGAGTTTTCCGTTAGCAATCAGTTTCACAGGGCTCAAAAGTACAAGGAAACAGCAGTTTGTGCAGACATTTAAGGGTGCCTTCCTGAAATTCAACAGGAGATTAAGCAGGCAGTAAAACTAGTCCAGTTTCATTTGCTAGTTTCTTAATATTTTATTCAATTTAGTGTAATTTTTACTTTCCATAATGGCTGAGAGATAACTTATTTCTTACCTTAACAAGTTTAACAGGTCATATTTTGTGATGTATATACTGAAGAGTACTGTGAGTCACTAATTCTGCAAGTAGCAGTGCAAATAGATTTAAGTGTATAGATATTATAAAGGAATTAACTTGTTAAAGTTTAGGTATTTGCAGTACTGTAGTTCTACATGTATGCTAAGGTCCTCTAGACTAAGGTCTCCAGAAACTCTTGTCACTATTTGTTATGAAGGCATAAAGAACATGAAAGCTGACAGTAAACCAGATGCTTATCAGGTTAAGAAATAATCTTGTTCAAATCTGTCTGCTTTTCAGAGAGTTATGTATTGTCTAATTTACTTCCTCAAAGGCTAGCGTGCAACTGGTTTGCAATCATTATTCAACAGGGAACCACTATTTGCCACATGTCCCTTTATTTTTCTTAGAAAATTTACTTAGGTGAAATCTGAAGGATCTAGAAATTAGCAGAAACTATGTGGATATTTGACAACTTGAGTTAATCTCTAAGTATGTGTAGATCTACAAGTATGCAAGAGGTACAGTGGATCACATCCATCAGGAAAATGCTGAACCAATTGCGTGTATATTGCCCAGATGGTCAGTGTGTGCATAGCTAATCCAGTGTAGTTCTGGATGCTTTGAACTTAATATGCATGGGCAGATCAACTGTGTTGTCTGCAATTACACAGATGCAGCTGAATAACTACAGTCTTATTCTGTACGTGGTTTACAGATGATCCAAGCACAAAGAGTATGTAGGGTGTGATCTGGAATTACCTGGCTTACAACAATGTATACCACAAAGTATTTATGAATATATTTTGCATGGGAAATTTCAGAAAAACACTATCATTCTAATCTCAAATGCTGTGAGTACCTTGTTTTCCAAAATATGATTTTTTTTTTTTCCTACTGATACACTGCTTCTAAGAAAGTCACTCAGTTACAACTGGAGATGAAGAAAAATCTTGTTCACTCCAGGAGAGCAGGAAACAGCTTAGTAAAAGATCTGTATTTTGTGTATTCTTACAGTCTTTCTCTGACAAATTACCATTATTATGCTAAAGGAAAAAAAAAATCATCTCTATTTCAATCATGTAAGCAATCTGTAGTTATTCAGTTAATATTTAATAAAATACTTGATAGAAATCAGAAGGATATCAGCTCATTAACTGGCCAAGTATCAATTGTTATCCATTCCTACACAGATAAGTGAGAATAAATTAATCAACTATAATAAAGGAAACACAAACATTTCAGTTAACCACTGTGAAAACACAGATCAAAGTGATTTGGAATTAACATTTTTTTAAGTACAGCCTCCTTAGTTTTAGATATATTTTAAGGTGTGCATTTTTATACTGCTAGTCTTACAGTCTTCCTTTTTTTTTTCCCTTTCACATTCTTCACTTTCTCCCCTAAATCTTTCTGGATTCATTACAATCTCATCTCATTTCAATTTTTTACTTGGTTTTCCTCATCTTTTTCAGCTTCTTTCTATCGTTTCTGGCAGTTTTGGTCACCTTTTCATTTGTTTTAATGTTTTCCCCCAACTATCTCTTGTATTCTTACTTCTCTGTCATTCCATATCTCTAGCATCGTTCAAGGAGTACTGGCCTGCGTTGACCCTTAAGACCCCTAAAAAGCTGACTGATCATTTCACAAGAACCCCAGCAATTGGTGAAGACTGCAAATATCTCTTTACACTCGGGCGTGAAGGATATCTATGCCCTTGCATGCTCAAATATGCCTTTCATCTGTCTGATTCATTCAGCAGCATTACAGATGCCAGATCCATAGTTTTAATAGGACTACTTCGTATTTTTTTTTGTTTTCTTCCCCATCAGGCTGATTTTTTTAGTTGCAATATATAAATAAATATGTATATTAGAATACTTAAAGAATCATCTAGTTACAGCTATTGAATAAAGAACCAGATGTATAGTAAGATTTGAATTGAACTGAAAATAGACAATTGTTCTTGTTACTTTGAACCACTACTTTACTACCTCATAATACACAGAGTTGATTTTTGTTTAATAGAAATTCTGATTCTACAGTGGTTGTTTTCTGATACTCTTGCTGAACTTGGTGGCTATTTCTGCATTAGCTCTGATGAATAGTGCTATTTATAGTTACCAATATAATCACAACTGATTCCAGAGTCTGTGGTGATTTTAAGACAATTAGACTTATGAGGAAAGAATGCATCTAATATTCTTAAGTATTGTGCTTTTGGTAATTTGGAGTGAGAGGCCATTATAATCCTAGTGTTGAGAAATTATTGCAGTTTATATAACTGGTGTAAGAACCACACAAGTGACTCTTAGAAAGGGCAAATCATGAATTAAACTGCTTATTTTATTTTCAATATTGTGTATTTGAACATTCCAAAATAGCATAAACATGGGTGATTTTTACCATGTTTTTTAAAATTTTATTTTCTGCTTTCTTCTAGTATTTTCCTATGCAGAAGAATAAATGGTAATTAAAATGTGCAGGATGAAAAGATGGAGCAGCCAGTGCTTGTACCACCAGGACCAGACAGCTTCCAATACTTCACTAGGGAGTCTCTTGCAGCTATTGAACAACGCATTGCTGCAGAAAAAGCTAAGAATCCTAAACAAGATCGTAAAGACAATGATGATGAAAATGGGCCAAAGCCAAACAGTGATTTGGAGGCAGGAAAAACACTTCCGTTTATATACGGCGACATACCTCCAGGAATGGTATCTGAGCCCTTGGAAGACATGGACCCATATTACATCAATAAAAAAGTGAGTCTAATATCAATCCTGTTCATATGCTAGTGTTTGAAGTGCTTAATCATGTTCATTTAATTTTTGTGGAATGGATCATATAGCTTATTCCTCCGGACTTTCAATTTGCAACCTTGTAGGAAAATGTCATTCAATAATGGGGAAACAGTTGAGCATTGTTAAAGGACTAAGTGTACAACAAAAGCTGGAAATGTTTTATGCCAGTGACACATAAGCATTCTGTCTTCCAGGAAGTTAGTAAATAATTATGTAGTATCTTCAAATTATTAGAAGTTGCTTTAGCTAGTGTATGTTTTTATAACATGTACCATCCTGTGCCCTGGCCACTGGTCCTGCTTTATATAAGGAGGAATTTTGCAAAATTATTATTTTTAGAATTAAACTGATAAAATTGGTAATAATTTTAACATTATGACTGTTTGTATAATTTGGTTGTACAATGAATGTAGCAAGGTACAGGTAGTGTGACAATCTAGGCTTCTATTGACTGGTGTCCCAATCATTAACAAAGTACCTCGTACAGGTAGAAGATAGAATCCAGCATCCTTAATGCTTACTGAACTTTTGTCTTTTTATTTTAATTTACATCAAATGTATTCCTTTGATATAACTGAATTTATATCAGAGAAGCATTTATATCAAAGCTGAAACAAGGTATCTTGTCTTTGATTATAAGCAATAGATACTACCTATACAAAAATGTATACATAATAGATGGCATACTCTGCAAACTTATATGATGAAATATGACTATATGTTGAAACTGAGTGTACCAGCACACCACACTTTCTCTAATGTTCTTCAGGCTTAAAACTGACAGCATGAACCAATGCATAGCACATTTTGTTCCCAGAAATCTACTTTGATAGCAAATTCTTAGAGAATGTATGGAATCAATAGAGAAACTCATGGATAAGCAGAAAGAGCCTTTATCTGCCATTCACAACATATGAAGATTTATCTTTTAATCACAGTTCTACTTTTACAAAAGTAAAAGATGCATTTCTGTAAAAGCAGGCCTTGCAGAGTTCTGTACTAGTTGTGTCTATTTATGGTGTGAAATCACAAATAATTACATCCCTACCTGACCACAGTTTGTCCTGGACCTTTATAGGAGAATTGTCTGCCTTGTGCATCTCACAGTAACAATACATACATGATAGATATGAGTGCACCCTCAGCAAGTTTGCCAAATACACCAAAATGTGTGGAGAGGTCAACACACTGAAGGGAAGGGATGTCATCCACAGGGACCTTAACAGGCTTGAGCAGTGGGCTTTTGCAAACTGCTTTAGTCAGCTTCACTGCATCAGAAAAGGTGAATGCACCATAGATTTTAGATATTTTAGATATTTGTAAGTTAAAGAATTTTAAAGTTAAAAGTTCTAGCAAAGCGAAAATGTAAGGTTTTGGTGAAAAACATGGTTTCAAAAGATAACGACAAAACCATTAAATGCCAGCTCCAAATATGCCGTTAGTCTCCTGTTCTAGCTGGCCCTGGGGCTTTTCACAAGAAGCTAAGGACCCAGCTCAACAATATGTCATCTCTTGCCTTTCAGGTCCTTTGAGGATTTAGATGGTGTTTATTTAACTGTAGAAAGTGGAAACACAATGAAGCAGCAGTCGACCTGCTAAATGTAGCCTTCCTGAACCTACATTTAAAGATAACTGGGAGGAAGGAAAGGAAAAACAAGGTTTTGGGAACTCCTTGTCCCAAGAGGCTCTCAAGAGACTGTGTCTTTGTTCAGTGTGGATTCTTTTTCCTCTTAGCTACATCTTCTCAAAATACTCTTCCTCCTTCTTTGCCCTGCTAAGAACACAGTTTCTGGGTTTATATCAAATATGGCAGATATTACAGAATAGGCATCCAGGTTGCAGATGCAAAAGCAGCAAATCAGGATCTTCTTTTTTAATTTATCTTCACATTTGATTTATTTGAGTGTAAGGAGGTTTCCTGCTTTTATAAAATTATTAAAGCACTTTGTAAAACCTAAGCCCTGAAAAGTATACCTAATCTTTCATATACGAACATTAATCTTACAATTTGTTTAGAATTTATTTCACGTTTCTCAGTGTATGTCTACTTTGTCCTGACAGCTTTGGGTACAATACTTCATGTTCATCCACACTGCCTACACATTGGCTTGCATCTGGGTTGAGACTGGAATGAGCTATAGCAGGTTTACCAGGAGGGAAGCTTACACAGGGATTGGGTATCAGCTGTTATCTCTATTTTTAAATGAAAATTCTTCTTCAGAGATAGGATGTGATTTTAGTTCATGTTTAAGGCTAGAAGTCAGAGGACCAACAAAGTCATTCTGGAGGCTCCAGTCACGAAGATGCTTTAAGTTAAAAAATTAAAACTGAGGTAGGTAATTTATGTCTTGTGGGTTCTGCTTATGCAGGGCAGCAGAAAGTAGAACAGCTAAAATAGCAGCAGCTTCCAACTGAAACTGGAGCTGTGCCAGCATGCTGTTATTTTCCATAAGGCATGTTAGAAGAGAGATGTATGTTTAATATGCTTGTGCTCAAAGATGTGTGGGTTTTTTTTAAATGTAGGTTGACTAAACGTAGGTGGTGTAGTCTTAGACACTAAGTTAGTAGGGAGTGTGATTTTAAATGTATTTTGTCAACTACCTCATAGCTACAAAAGGCCAAGAGCATGAGCTGGAGGCTTCTGAGCTGTGAGTCCTGGTGGCTGGGAACAGACCTGGGAGGGAAAACCTCACCTCCCCCCTTGGGATAGGAGGCTTTTAAAACATTGTGCCAAAAAATTATTCATCTGCTTGGTTACCTCAGCATTTAAAAGGAAAGCCTTGTTTAAGGCCAGGTCATCTGTAATTACACTTTGAATGTTGTTGATAACTGTAGCATAACTGGAAGTGTAATTTGGAAACATTAGCTCAGGCTTTATCCCACCATCCTCAGTTTCATACTCCGTTTCTCCGTTTCTGTGCAGAAGCAAGGAATTTAAATGCTTACACCCTTTCTACACATCTTGGATTTGTATTCAAGAAAATAGAAAGTCTCACTGTTAGTTATCCTTATTCTTCAGGAGTTTGGTCTCTGTAGGCATGTGAGCTGTGTAGAGTTAGGACAGAGAGACAGCTGAATGAAGAAGTCTGAAATACATGATGTAAATACATCTTATAAATACATCATATTACCCTACTGAGGTTGTTTAATGAAGAAGTAGTATAAAAACATAACACTAATTGAATGTTCTATGTTTAAAATTAGATTTTCATATGGCAAGTACATCAGGTACTGGAAATAAGTTTTGTTGAAAAAATTAGCCATTAGCTTTTTAAAGTTGCAACTTTGGTTGGTTGGTCACTCAGAACAGTTTTTAAATGAGCATCTACAATGAATACACACTTATAAAATGTCTTTTCTTTCTCTTTTTCAGACCTTTATAGTATTGAATAAAGGGAAGGCAATCTTCCGATTCAGTGCCACCTCTGCCCTGTACATTTTAACTCCCTTCAATCCTCTTAGAAAAATAGCTATTAAAATTTTGGTACACTCATATCCTTTTTCAATGTTTGTTCAAAATGTTACACACTGAAATTATGAAAACTCATAACTCTATTTCATTGTAACACAAGTAGGCTCTTTAATTTTACTGTGCAGTGGAAGACTTATAGTAAGGTCTACTGTCCTTGTGGTAAGGTTTTATAACTACATGAAAATATGTATATATGGTATAGATGCATTTTAGCTATTCTGTTGAATTTCAATGCTGTGTAAATCTGCATATGGATTTAAGATCATCTTGATCAATTTTTCAGAAAAGTTTCTTCATATTTATTTCAACACTGAATTTGTTTGTGTACCAGGTTCCTTTTTGTGCTATGAAACCTAGTAATGAAATAATTCCATATTAATAAATAAATTAATTTATTTGAAAATGCAGCTTGTGCTCACAAATTCCAGAAGAGCTTTCAGTTTTGCAAGCAATGAGGCAGCTATTGAGCTGCTGAGGAACAACTAGCTCCAGGGTATGTTTACATTGCCTTTTAGGGGTCCTGCTGAGGCCAACCTCAAGATCAGCTTTATAGTCTATTGCAGCAGGGTGCCTGGAAGCCTGGTTCATCCATGCTGAATCTCACATCCACAAACCTGCCCAGTGGCACCACAAGCCCTCTGCCAGATTTAATACCTTGCCAGAAAGCACAGGCAGGAATCATGCAGATGGTTTGCAAAGCATCCTCATATGCTGATGGGGGACAGAGTGGGGAGCACAACTGATGGGATGGTGCATAAGGTAAAGTTTTACACTGGCCTGTGGGATTGGTGCCTGATTTTTCATAACACGTTGATGGAAATTTCTAGCAGGTGAGGTTTTGATGCACTTCCCTTGCAAAACCCCAGGACTGGGAAAAGTAGTAACCCAATGAAAATTTCAGTGTGACAGTAAGGCTTTTAACAGTTAGTCAAAGGCAAAAGCCTAGAGACTGCTGGCAAAATATTCTGTCTTTAGAAAAGGGAAGAAACAAGTCTGATTGCTGCTGACTCAGAAGACCCTTTCCTCTGATCTCCCTGGAAGTTAAAGTACTGAGAAAAGGGGAGGAAGCTGTATGGAGAGTAGTCAGGAGCATCTAGGGACAGTAGCTAAGGGACTGGACAGAGGCCTACAGACAGTGGTGGAGATAGTGAGAAAACCCACACAAACACTCTAAGAATGAAGCCTGTAATGAATGCTCATCCACTTAAGTTATGGGCTCTGTTTTGCAACACCTTCCAACCCTATATCTGGAAGGGAGGCACATACTTGGAATGCGTCTGTTGTGTTTGAGATTTCTGTAAGGGAAATCATGGCCATAGAATATATTTCAAAGTGCGTTAGCATCTGCTCCCTTTGACAGTGAACAGCACTTTGACCATGCAGCTCACAGATGTGGTGAGTTCTTTAGAGAGTGGGGAATGTGTAAGGATCTACCTGTGGCCTTTGTCATGAATGATACCTACCTATCAGTTGCCAAAATAGATTCTCTGTGTTTAAAGGAATTTATGAATTATATTGAGTCAGACTTTCTAGAGCTGCCTGTGGGCTGTGAGGACAAGCATTTTAAGGCATTCTAATTATTTATTCTAAGCCACTTGAACCACAATTTGTACTGTACAGAGCTCATATGACAACATGGTCTTCAAAATTATTTAGGTTACTTAATGAAAGGTATCACAATATTCAGTGCTTGGTCAGGCGTTTGGACAAAGATCACACACCTGTCCATGGGAATCAGGCAGCTGTGATTTGATCATTCCCTGTGATTGGAATGCTTCCCTGGAAAGATAGGCTCAGGTTTGAATTGTTCAGCAGCTGTAAGTGATGATCTAAATGTTTGCACTAATTTGCTGCAAAGTTTAAGCTGAGATTTTACTTCTCCTAGAGTGGAGGATTGTTTTTTGGCAGGTTTCTTTGTCCATTTCTTAGAAGGTTTTTTCTCTATGGCATAAAAATATACTTCCAACACCAAAATGCTAGCTACCTGATTTAAGAAAAAAAAAAGGCATTGGGGTTTTATATAAAAGACTTTAGTTTAAGTTAGCTTGTTCACCACTTACGTTGATGCAATTATTTAGTTATTTTTAAGGAACACAGCATTTAGAGAGATGAGCAGAGGAAAAATTAGTTAACCATTTGGTGAAAAGGTGTAGCTTTTTGGCTTTTGCTGCCATCATGTGGCAAATCTGAGTCAGGTTTTGGTTTAGTTTGGTGTCTTAAGTATTTCCAAATATTTGAATAATCGAGGTTACTTTATTTCCATGAAAAGGGAAGGAACACGCTGTTTTTGAGTCAGTGATCTTGTAAACCAAGGGCATCACATTGGGTGTGATAAAGGTCCAGTGGGCTGTCCCACGTCCATACAACAAGCCCTTTTGAGCTGTTAATCTGGTTTTCATAGTCCCACAACACCTAGTTGTGCCTTGCTGGAACCCTAAATAAAAATTCATTTTCATTCTAATCTTCACCAGTTTTAAAGCAGTTGACCACTATTGGTGGTACTATTGAATCATTTTCAAATCATAGCACTGGTAGAACAAGAAATGCTTCTCATTGCTGCTAACATGTTTTGCAAGAACCCAAAAATAATATTGGAAAAATAATCAGCTTAATCTGTGAGCTCTCTATGGATTCCTTTTTCACTGACTGAAGCATGTACTGTTAAACTGGTGATAGGGAAACATGGAATACCATCATTTCAGCAATTAAAAAGAGTATTCTGTTATGTTCTGTGTTTTTCACAGACTGGCTGTGCTGGATGCTTTTCCTACAGCTCTGAGTCATGCTGAACAGGATAAACTTTTTTACCTTGCATATGCCAGCTGTTGAGTTTAGTACTGAAACTGTAGAAGTGAAAGACTAATGCTTATTTAGTCATGTCAGGTACTTAAGTAAAACAGTATTCTTCTGCAAGACACTTTGGTTTTGGCTGTTATCTCCCAGACATACATGTCTTCCTGGCCTTTCAGTACCAGCTGAAAACAAAACACAAGGACATCAACAAATCAACATCAAGAACATCAACAAATTGAGACTAATATTAAAACTACCAGATTAAGCAAAATATATGTGTAATGTTTGCCAGTCTGTAAGATTTGTGTATGTGGCAATATTTTACTGTACTTAAGATATCTGGCTGATGTGATATTGTGTGAATTACTGTTGTTTTCCTTAACTATACCTACATTATTCAGCATGCTAATCATGTGCACTATTTTGACCAACTGTGTATTTATGACCATGAGTAACCCCCCAGACTGGACAAAGAATGTGGAGTAAGTTGCATATATTCTTTAAAGGTGTCTTTGACTGTTTCTCTAGGACTTATTATGCCAATAATTGTAGTAATGTGTCCAGGGAAGAACTATCATCAGACACTATTCACCACTAGAGAGAGTTTCACCAATACATTTTTAATATATGTAATTTATTTGATGGATTTATGCATTTTGATCAATATACAAAATCAGGACAGTTGCACTTCAACAGCATGTTACAACTAATGCATGCAAATACACAACTATACATGATGAATATAATGGATTTTAGAAGGAATTGCTTATTTACTGTATTTCCTTTCTGGTTATGAAATAAAATATTTCATCTGATCATCAGGTTTCTATTAGAATACCAATGTAAAGTGTTGCTACTTATCTGGAATAAATTTTTCTATATTGTACAGGTATACATTCACTGGAATTTACACATTTGAATCACTCATAAAAATTATTGCAAGGGGCTTTTGCTTAGAAGATTTTACTTTTCTTCGAGATCCATGGAACTGGCTTGACTTCACTGTCATTACCTTTGCGTAAGTTTTTGTTTTTTGCTTTGTCTTCGAAAGTGAAGGGCAAAAAGGGCATGAAATTAGTATCTATATGTATCAATTTTGTTAAATGGAAATTCTTATATGGATTGGCTTTTGTCTAAAGCAATTTTCACATTCCAATAAGCATATTTTGATGTAAACATAAATACTGCAGAAGCCATTAGTACAGCTAGTATTAGAGAGGCTAATTTCATGTCCTGCATTTTTTTCTCTGAGCAGAAAAGGAGCATCCCTTTGACTTCATTCTCCAAACTTACCAGTCTAGTCTAGATAAATATTTAGGCTTTCAAAGTTAAATCACTGTGATTCCCTTCAGAGACATATAATTTAACTGAAGGCTCTGAAAGCATGTTAATGCAAGGCAAACTGCAGTGAAAGGTAAATCTCTGACTGTTGCTATTTAATTTTTTGCTAAAAACGCCAAAGAGGTCTTGATGAAAGACCCAAGTAAGTAGCATAAACTTTGCCTAAATTCTGAATAACTGTGATTTAATCCTACAGGTATGTAACAGAATTTGTAAACCTAGGCAATGTTTCAGCTCTTCGAACTTTCAGAGTATTGAGAGCTTTGAAAACTATTTCTGTAATCCCAGGTAAGAAGTAACTGGTGTAAGGTGTTAGGCCCCTTGTACCTCCCAACTGTTCCTTTTTATCCTGTCATGTGTTTGTGTGTGAACTCCCCTATTACAGATATGTGACAGAGTTTGTGGACCTGGGCAATGTCTCAGCGTTGAGAACATTCAGAGTTCTCCGAGCTTTGAAAACAATATCAGTCATTCCAGGTGAGAGAGAGGTTAAACACTGAGGCTGACTTTAATTCACTGAAGCAAAATTCATTTATTTTCTTTCCACAAAAAAACAAAAGCAGGAATTGGAAGATTTTAGTATTCACTGAGATCTCTGATTCATTGCTTTTTAACATGAGCTTTTTTCTTTTGAAATCAGCCTTTGAGTTTAACAGATTCTTGCATGAGACATTGCAGTACACAGCGTGTGTGGTTTGCATCGTATGATGTTAGGCTTTCTTCTCCACGTTCCTGAGTATCAGTAACCCTGAAGTTTTCCTACCCATGTGTGTCTTTCCTACATGATGTTATGTGGTATTTGTTGTGAATATTTGTATCTAAAAAACAGAAGTGTTCAAAATGTTGATTAGTATGACGGTGAAGGAACAAGATAATAAAGAATAGCATGGGATTGCATGGGGAATTTATTATCTTAGAATTCTATGATTTTCCAAACCATCTCCAGTTTTATAGCATTAAAATTTAATCCTATTATTGTTGAACAGGCTTTTTACTACTCTTTTCTAAATCTAGTATGTTATAAAACTGATAGTAGCAAAGGTTTGGGGCAGCAGGTATTGATGAATAAAAAAGAAAGAAGACTTTTTGAAGATTGACATAGAGCATGAAGAAAAAAGTCTCTTGTTTTAGCATTAAAACAAGTGTTTTGAAGTATACACAACTCATTCCATTCACAGTTGCAAATGAACATAAATTTCAGCTATTTATTCATTTTCACAGTGAAAAAGCTCTTCACAAAAATGTTATTTCACAGACATTACAATCATTTATTTGGGCTTCTGCATGAAATCTATAATGACACTGAGACACACTGTCATTTTTATCATTTAGAAAAGGTTTGAACACCAGAATAAAAATTCCTTTGCATTTGCAGGCTTGAAGACTATCGTGGGAGCCCTAATTCAATCCGTGAAGAAGCTCTCAGATGTTATGATCCTGACTGTGTTTTGTTTGAGTGTATTTGCACTAATAGGGCTGCAGCTTTTCATGGGCAACTTGAGGAATAAATGCCTGCAGTGGCCTCCAGAAAATTTTACTTTGGAAACAAATATTACTTCCCAGCTAAACAGCACTGTCGGTGAAAATGGTACATTAGTTAATTCAACAGTGGCTCCTTTTGACTGGAAAGGGTACATTGAAGATGAAAGTAAGTATTGTCGGCATAATTCTTATTGAAGTGATATGTGGCTAACCCACTTCTTAGAAATAAGGAGGGGGAGGGATGATATGTTTAGTTAAGACTGAACAGGAAAAGTGCTTTCTCTTTCTTATAGATCTGCTCCAAAGGCTGGCATGGAAGAGAGAACAAAAAAGATGGTCTCTCTTCTTGATGCAGATCTTTTTCTCAGCTCTCTCTACCAAATCCGTGTCTCTCCTGAGACAAAAAGAGATCCAAAGGATTTCTTAAAATTACTTAATAGTCAGAAACATTTTACATCCTGATAGTCTAATGCAAGATCAGCAACAGACTGCTATGTCATTCTGACAGATGTCAGACTTCTGACATTCAATGAGGCCTCCTGAGTATTGTTTCCATCTATCCATTCTTCCGCTTCTATATATTATTATTAGAAAGGTTTGTTTGGGGTTTTTTTTTAGGTCTAGCATTTTTTCCTGCTCCAATTTAAGCTCATTGTTCTTATCAACTTCACCACAAGCATCAAAACTAAATTATTCCTTATCATTATTCACTGTCTCTGAGGTATTGAGAGACTATTCTTATGTTGCTATGACCTCTTCTCTCAGTCTTCTTTTTGCATGCTAAGCAACCAGATCATTAACTTTTTTCTCCAACTGTTTATTTTCTAGATCTTGGTCTCTTATCTAGATACCTTCTTGTTTGTGAACATCCTTCTTCAAGTGCAGTATCCACATCTAGGCATTCCTTCTCCACATGAGGCACAATAAGTAGAAAAGAAGGATTATGTGGTAGCATAGTAATTTATACTTGTTTTATACATCCTAGGCTAGAGTCTGCCATTGTTTATAATTGGAACATCATAAGATCCTGTTCAGCTTGTGGTCTACCTGCTCCTGAGTCTTTTTTAAAGACTTTTAGCTCATTGAATTTCCACTATGTATTTGCAGAACTCATTGTTCCAGCCTGAACAGCACCCTGTTTTTTCAGACCATCTCTCTAACTGTCCTGGATCTTTGAAAATGTAGTTGTTTCCTCAGATGCACCACCATCCTTATCAGATCAGTATAATTTTCAAATTTGATAAGCATTCTTCCATTATTTAGATCAATTAAAACCTTGAATAGCAGCAATCTCAGACAAACCTCTTCAGAAGTTGTTTTGTTGCATCTTCCCATTTTGATGATTTCCATAAGTACAATTTCCCAACCAGTTTTGCTGATACAGAGCAATCTGGCTAACTGAGAGCAGATAAAGAAATGCATTTCAGTTCAGTTCCATGTGAGGTCACAAACCTAAACCCCCTATCCTAAAAATCAATGCTGCACAATTCACGTTGAGACAGGTTTACATGCATAAAGACTGTAGCTGATGGCATACATCATCTCTAACAGTGCAAGTTGTTTGTGGAGAAAAATAAGGACTAAAGGAGAGGGAAAGAAAAGGAAGGGGGAAGGGAAAACTGACCAGAGTGGGCAGCTGCAAAGAGAAGTGGTGGAGTCCCCTAAGCTTGTGTTTGCATGTTTTAGGTCACCTTATATAAATCAAAAGCTACAAGTAAGTAGGAAAAAGGGGAAGAAAGAAGGGTGGATCTCACACCAGAGACAATTGCTTCCCCTGAGAACCTGCTGCAATAATAATGTGCTTGCAGGTGTAATATCATGAGAATAAAAGCAACATGAAAAAGAGCATGAGAACAAAGGAAAAATAGTGCTATAGAGGCTCTGGAAAATACTATCACAGCAGCTTATGTGAATGGTTGTGGAGCTGCAACTGATAAGCAGGACACAGAAATACAGTTGAAAGCCCTTAGCAATAGCAAGGACCTAAGGCACTGTGGAGCAGCCAAGACTGACAAATTAAGGCTAAATCTCTGCAGCTAAAAAGCTAAATAGCATTCTGTTTGCATAAATAAGGCAGTATTATCCCTGTATTTAGCACTACTGCAGTTGCTGCTGGAATACTATATAAAGTTCAATTTAGACAGGATGTTGAAAATTTGGAGGATGTTTAGAAAAGAGCAGAATGATTAAAGGCTGGAAAACGTGCTTTAGACCAGGAGCTCAACCTACTTAGCATATCAAAGAGAAGGTTTAAGGGGAGATTTGATCACAGCCGAGAAAAACCTCATGGGGAACTGCAATTTCATCATAGACGTATCTTTGATCTAGCAGGAAAAGATGTAACAGGTTCAATAGCTGCAAGTCAAAGCCAGACAATTTTCAAATAGAAGACAGACAGCTTCTACCTGTGATGACACAGGTAATCAGTGATTATGATGGATTTCCGTCTGAATTTCTTAAATCAAGATGCAGTCTTTTTGTGAAACTCATTTTACTTGAACATGAGAATTCATGGAAATCCCATGCCACAGCATATAACAAAGTCAAAGCAAAGTTCCCTAGTGAAGACCAGGACTTCAAGATCAAACCTAATTTCCTATCTTTTTAACAAAAGATCTATACACTCAAGCTCTGAAGGTCCCTAAAAAGCAAAACCAAATTGAATTAGCTAAAGAAAGTATCTTATTGAATGAGTTCTTGAATATTTGGAATATTTACACAAGATTTCATGTGTATTTTTAAATTTATAATGACATTATGAGTCCTATTATGAAGTTAATAAGCTTGTCCCTGCTTACAAGCAGTTTCAAAGAGTTCTCAAAAATGTTCTCACAGCTTCCTACTCTCTTTGAAGGTGGACAAACAGGGTAAAGAAAGTATTCTTAAACCAGCTGTGTCACAGGGCATTAAGAAGGGACTTACCTGGGGCCCAGAGCAGTGCAATGGCACTGTCTTTTATAGGAATTATAAAAGTTTTTATGCCAGTAGTTGTGCATACTATGCAAAAAAAGGCATGTAAGCACTAATTTTTGGAAATACCATCTAGAGAGACTTTATGCAAGTCCTCCTGGCATTAGTGAGTCAAGCACTGTGGGGTTTGTTTGTTTGTTTGTTTGTTTTTCCCCCGTATGGCAAATCTGCTAAACTTAATGCTAGATAAATTTCAGTTTATCTTGGTGAGCTTGCCCTGACATGTCACTATAACACATAAGCATGTTTTCTGGGAAGTAACATCTCACAATCTATTTTTGAAATATCAGTCTCAGTCATTACCCTAGGTTTACTCAAACAACTGTTAATTCCCTTGAAGTGCTCACCTACAGGGGATTTTTTCCCATTTCCAGTCAAATAAATGGGAGCCAACCATACATGTCTCATGTAGTGAGTGACTTTTCACATTACTTGGGTAAAATATTATTCTGTGTTTTGAGTCTAGTAAGGGACACATCTGTATACTGCTCAGCTTTCTTGGTATAAAAATTTTCCTGTCATGATAATATTTTGAGCATTTGTCACTGCTGTATCAGTGCACTCAGAGAAAGCCTGGGTAGCTGTTATTTCCTGCAGAGCTGGCAAGCACAGCATGCTTACAGGGCATAGCTTGTCTGAACCACAGAACTTGAGTACAGGCCCTCTCTTCGCAGTTCAGCTCAGCTGATGCACACTGATCATGAGTGACTGCTCCAAGTAAACTGTATCAAATCAGGTTTGCATTCGTCCCAACCAGCTGTTATGTTCCAGCATGTTTTAATCATGATTAGCTGACATAATGCACAGTAACACTTGCTTCACAGGGGTGAGCTCTGGTCAGCATTATGGCAGCTAACTTTGCTGCTTCCAGCACAGTGCAGCTCAGCAGTGCACACCAGCCCAGAGGGACTGCACAGAGGCTTGGGCACTTTGCCCAGTACAGAATATTGTACTCTGAAAGACACAGGTGTATCACCAGACACTGAAACCGAGTCCTTCAAAAGTGCCAGAACAGGGTCTGCATACAGCTGAGAACCTAAGTTTTCCAAATGGTGACTTTCACTCACAGGATGGTGAGATGCAGGTGGCTGAGGTACCATGTCCCTCTTGCAAATCAATGCACTGAGCTGGTAGCATGTGACACCTCCTCAGACTCAGAGTTCATTAGCTCTGTAGTGACTCTGCTTGGGCAGAACATCTGGCACAGTCACATTCACACTCAGCTCCACTCGTAGCATTTTAAGGGAATCTAACAGGCCAGTTCAATGGCAAAGAAGTACAATGCAGGGTTTGAATCTTCTCAGGAGGCAGAAAAGGCACCACCATAATTCCAAAGCTGCTGTGCTTTAGAAGTATTGGAAGCTGGGGAGGTGCTCAGGAGTGTTATCACCCATGTCTGTGCCCTGTCCTTCCAGACGTCCTGAGGCGACGCTTTTGGTCTCTGTTGGAAATAGGATACTGGGCTACATGGTCTGACCCTGTATAAATATTATCTTTAAGCCTGTGACCAAATGGGAAATCGTTACTATCAGAGGAAGCTCCTCCTGTGATAATTCTTCCACAATCAAGAGCTTAGCAACTGTGGGCATCTGCTTTGAGGGGAGAAAGAAAAGCATGTCTTAAGGATATGGTCAAAGTGAATATAAATAATCATGCTGCTTTGGACATTATCTCTTTAATATTGTAAGAACTGATAAATCAAAGGCTTGGTTGTTTAAACCATCTAAAATGTTTTCTGAATACAGGATTAGTATAGAGATTATGGGATGGTTAGGTACAGGGCAATTTGCTGGAACTTTCCCAGTTCTTTTCTAATGTGATCGATAATTTCATCGTATACTCCTAAAATCCTACCTACACAAGTCACGGACTGTTGCAGTAATTCTGTTTGAGTTAAATATATAGCAGGGCTTTCATAGCAATCAGAGGGCTACACACCCAGAACAATTATATCAGCTGGATGGTTTGCAGAGCTCACATCTTAGATAACTGACACAAGTGTAAGTGACAGGCTGCAACCCTTGGCAATACTGATCAGAATGTTTGAAATAGTTATATTTTTTTCAAGTACAATATAACTATTATAATAAATAACTATACAACAGAATTTCACAATGTGTTACTTTATTCAGTGATCAAACTGCAGGGAGAGTTGTACATTTCATCTACATCCAGCAGCATTTTACAAGATTTTCAGTACATTTTGACATTTTAACAGTAAATGCTATGATAGCACTTACTGCAATTCATAGTGTTGTTTGCTCTAAAGTTATGGTCTTGCTGAAAAAAAAAAAATTGCTTCTTTAAAATTTCATTTGAATTCACCTTATCACTTTTAGAGCCAGACTATTTACTTCATAGAGCTATAAGAAAACTTTCATCATCAGAATTTTAAAACTATTTAAAAATTCTTTTCTAAACAGGTCATTTTTATTTTCTGGAAGGGCAAAACGATGCTCTGCTTTGTGGAAATAGTTCTGATGCTGGGTAAGACCATATGTCATCATATTATTGCACTGTATACCAATTAGATCCATGTTATTTAGATGTGCAGCTGGAGGGAGCTATATTTTGAGTGACTACTTCGTTTCGCATAAGAATTATTAGGAGTTTACACTGGACTGAGGATTTGGGTCCCTAGTCAGGGCTCAGTGGATTGGTCAGATGAACTTAGTATTTTGTAATTTGGTTTTAGTGTAGTTCACGCCTGAATGAGAAAGAACAGACACAGCAGCTGGAAAATGTGTTATTTTGCAGTTCCAGCTGCACATGAAGTACTAACAGGCTCAGAGAGTAGAAAACACTGACATTGACATTATTAATGTAACATTAATAAAGAAATTATTTTGAATATTAAGTTTTAGGAGCTTAGATTAAACTTTTGACACTAATTTTTATGTGAGTTTCCTACTTTATTTTTCTAGTGTCCTTTAAAATAATTTTCTATTCAAAATAATAACTGCTGTTACTTCAAGTCTGACTAAATAAAAAAAATCCACTTTTAATCCTGATATCTTGGACATTTCAGGTGATAATATTAAAATAACTATATAACACCCAGTTTGTCTCTGTAGGCAGTGCCCAGAAGGATATACATGTGTGAAAGCTGGTAGAAACCCCAATTATGGCTACACAAGCTTTGATACCTTCAGCTGGGCTTTCTTGTCACTCTTCCGTTTGATGACTCAAGACTTCTGGGAAAACCTTTATCAATTGGTAAGACTTCTTAAATGCAAAATAGACTAAATGTGTTTGTACCAATAATGCAAGAGGCCTAAAATCAATTTTCTTCTCTTAATTTTAACAATATGAAAATCAGAATTTTTCTTCATCTAGTCTTGCTTATAAATGTATTCTTATTTCCAGACACTACGTGCTGCTGGGAAGACATACATGATATTTTTTGTCCTGGTGATCTTCCTGGGCTCTTTCTACCTGATCAACTTGATCCTGGCTGTGGTTGCCATGGCCTATGAAGAACAGAATCAAGCAACCATGGAAGAAGCAGAGCAGAAAGAGGCAGAATTTCAACAGATGCTGGAACAACTAAAGAAGCAGCAAGAAGCAGCTCAGGTATAATTAATGGTGTATTAATGCAGAAGCGTATAGAAGTAGTTTTACTAGAGATATTCACCGTCTACTCTCTGAATTTGGAGTTCTAAACACCCAGCTGGTCTTTCAGCAACAAAGCTAGCTCAGGGATTTTCTATTTTGCACTGAAGGCATTGTACTGTGAATAATTCAGCCATAATCAAGAAGGAATATTCAAAACTAGGTATGCGTTATTAATTATGTTTTTCATAGAATCATAGAATCTTAGGGGCTGGAAGGGACCTCGAGAGATCATCTAGTCCAACCCCCCTGCCAGAGCAGGGTCACCTAGAGTACATCACACAGGAACTCATCCAGGTGGGTTTTGAATGTCTCCAGTGAAGGAGACTCCACAACCTCTCTGGGCAGTCTGTTCCAGTGCTCTGTCACTCTCACAGTAAAAAAATTTTTTCGGATATTCACCTTGAACTTCCTATGCTCCAATTTACACCCATTACCCCTTGTCCTATCACTGGTCATCACCGAGAAAAGCCTAACTCCGTCCCCCTGACACTCACCCCTTACATATTTGTAAACATTGATGAGGTCACCCCTCAGTCTCCTTTTCTCCAAGCTAAAGAGACCCAGCTCCCTCAGCCTTTCCTCATAAGGGAGATGTTCCACTCCCTTAATCATCTTCGTAGCTCTGCGCTGGACTCTTTCAAGCAGTTCCCTGTCCTTTTTGAACTGAGGGGCCCAGAACTGGACACAATACTCCAGATGTGGCCTCACCAATGCAGAATAGAGGGGGAGGAGAACCTCTCTTGACCTACTAATCACACCCTTTCTAATGCACCCCAGGATGCCATTGGCCTTCTTGGCCACAAGGACACATTGCTGGCTCATGGTCATCCTCCTGTCTACCAGGACCCCCAGGTCTCTTTCACCTACACTACTCTCCAGCAGTTCAGCCCCCAACCTGTACTGGGACATGGTGTTGTTCTTCCCCAAATGTAAAACTCTGCACTTCCCCTTGTTGAATTTCATCATGTTTCTCCCCGCCCAATTCTCCAACCTATCTAAGTCTCTCTGAATGGCAGCACAGCCTTTCTTAGTCTAGTGTCATTAATACAGTATGTTAGACTTCTGCATTAGAAATAATAATGAAAGATGGAAGAAGGCCACAACCAACACATATTTTGAGTCTAATAAATAACTAATAAAAATTAGAAAAAGCTAGGGAGATGTTATTCTCTGGAAAGTGTTAAGATCCAGGCCATTTGGACTAGAAATTCTGTATATGTAAACTTTAAAAAGACATGATGTTGTGGTGTGCTCAGTGACACAAATTCATTCTGCAACATGACAGGCAGCAGCAGTGGCAGCAGCAGCAGTAACAGCATCTGCAGAGTCCAGGGAGCCCAGTGCTGTGGGAGAAGCAGGAGGGCTCTCAGAAAGTTCCTCAGAGGCATCAAAATTGAGCTCAAAGAGCGCAAAAGAGAGAAGAAATAGAAGGAAAAAAAGGAAACAGAAAGAACAGTCTGGAGGAGAGGAAAAAGATGAAGATGAATTTCACAAATCCGAATCAGAAGAAAGCATCAGAAGGAAAGGTTTCCGATTATCTATTGAAGGCAATAGACTGACATATGAAAAGAAGTATTCCTCTCCACATCAGGTATTGCATATAGTTACTTTGAGTAGAAACATACATGTAAAGCATCATAGGCTGATACAACTTTACTTTAGTCTTCCTGAAACTGTAATATGACCCTATGGTGTAAAGAAAGGAAACACTGAGATTTACATTAAATGTCTTTATTGTTGCTAGTGCTTGCAAGAAAGTGCAGTTCTAGACTGTCTTGTAGAAAATGGCAGAGAATTAAATGTAACATCCCATCTCTGATCTTGTAATATGATAATTTAAAAATAATTAAAATATTATCTAACTCTATGGGGGTTTTTTTAGAGTGATGATATAATATCTAAACTTACAAAAATGCAACAGTATTTTTCCACTATGTTAGCCTCATATTTTCCTCCTATATCATTGATGTTTGGACATTGGTTTAACAGGTGTAGGGTGCTACATACATGAAAGAACGTGCATGTGTAGACTCCCTTTTTTGCTTGATGGGAATTGTACGACTACTCTACTCAGCAGCTCTAATCGACATTATGAGAAAGGAGTGCTCAAAATTGATGTTGTCATAAGAATCCATAAATGGTGGTATTTCTATCTGCAAAATATACATATAATGAAAACATATACAATTTTCACAGCAGCATTTAGCTTCTGGGAAAAGTGTTTACTCTCATAGAAGAAACACCTTCCTCCCCCTCATCTGAATAAAAATAGTAAGTTTGAAGGTTTCAACTAATAATCACATATTTTATTTGCCTACAGTCTTTGCTGAGCATTCGTGGCTCCCTGTTTTCCCCAAGGCGCAACAGCAGAACAAGTCTTTTCAGCTTCAGAGGTCGAGCAAAGGATATAGGATCAGAAAATGACTTCGCTGATGATGAGCACAGCACTTTTGAAGACAACGACAGCAGAAGAGATTCCCTCTTTGTGCCGCGCAGACATGGTGAACGGCGCAACAGTAACATTAGTCAGGCCAGTAGGTCATCCAGGATGCTGACAGTGTTTCCAGTGAATGGGAAGATGCACAGCACTGTGGATTGCAATGGGGTGGTTTCCCTGGTTGGTGGACCATCTGTTCCTACATCGCCTGTTGGACAGCTTCTGCCAGAGGTGATAATAGATAAACCAGCTACTGATGACAATGTAAGAAAGTTTTAAATAGCTTAGGCATCGTGGCCTGTTCTTACTGCACCAGCCAGTGTTTTCTACAGAATGGAATCCTTGGCAATGCTTCCTGGTTGGTCAAGCTGTGAATGCTCCTGCATCTTGTAAAATCTTTAATAGATAAAACAGCTAAGATAGGTTTGCAACCTAAGAATTTACTTCTCATAACTAACAAATGCAATTTACAGTTTCCAAGTAATAAAATACTTGCACATTCATAGAATCACTTTACTATATCACTGCGCTATACTTTTGCTGATCTAAAGATCCATCTGGCTATGGTCTGCAAAATCAGTTACTACACAATTGAAACTAGTACACAAAATTGTTATAACTGCAATCAATATGATGTTGCTATTACCACTTTATCAAAATTAGCTTTATTAGTTAATTTTGGTAACATTCTTCCTTACCAGTCCTGTTAAAATGTAAGGAAGTTAAATTTTGTATTATAATTTATTTTTCATTTCTATGCATATCTATGCATTTTCCATCCATTGCTGGTGGAATTCTGTAGCATGGATGACAAATATTTCACTGGAAGGTCACATTTCAATACACACTTCCAAAAATACAAATGTTTGTGTGAGCATATGTGCAACACATATTGCTCCAATTCTCTTACCAAATAAGAGGTAAGATAAGATGTCTCTAAAAAAATTACTGCTTAATTCAAAATTGTCTATTCATATTACTAAAAAAATACTAGCATGAGGAAGCATGAGGAAGTCGGACTTTTCTTACTTGTTTCAGTTTGCTTAGGGGAAAAGATTATTATTTTCCAAAACCCAGAGTATTCCGTCAGCAGAATATTTATACGCTATTTCAAACTCCTTTTCCATCTGTTTAATTTTTTTTCATAGCTTGAAGGAAAGAAATGCAGAAGTTAAGTAAATAAGCTCTCAGTCTTGAACGGTAGGTAGCCATTACCCCGTATATTTTATTTGAAAGATACTAAAAAGTAATAAAAGTCTGGCATGATAAAAATTGAAGAGCACGAAGCACGTATCCAAGCTAAGACATTAATAACAGGGTTCTATGTAGTATTTGTTTATCTTATTATTCCAGCATGGTCTTGCCTCTTATTCTTGTACAGGGCACCACTACAGAAACAGGAATGAGGAAGAGAGTATCAAGCTCTTTCCATGTGTCTATGGACTTACTAGAAGATCCAGCTTTAAGGGAAAGTCACAAACACTGTGGAAGGTGTGTACTGCATATAACTTAATATTTAATACTTGTTCTTCAACTTCTGAAAATTTGAGTTGAAACTTAAAAACTGGTTTAAAATAGCTTAATTAACAGATTCCATCCCACAAACTGACATGTTTCTCAGTAAACTCAAAGGTTTTTTTATTCATTAAGGTTCTTATGTAAGTAAGCATTTCTATCTCATTGTTTTGCCACCATCTACCTCCTGTGGTCATCAGGACTACAGAGTCATGTTTGGCATTCATAACTGAGCGGATGCTTATGCTTTTTAATTAAAAATATGTTATTTCACACAAAAAGGCCATGGAACATTTTTTAAATATATGCAACCATTATTAAAATAGATACAGTTTTTAGCAGTTATATTTATTCAACTCATTTTTAAAGAAGTCCTATGCTAAGTGATAAAAATGTGTTGGTTTTTTTCCTGAACCAAGAATGAAAATTATATTGAAAAGTTATACCTAAACATCACAAATTTCAAAATAAAAATATTTACATAATAGAACAGTAAGCTGGAGGAACAGGCTGAACTGTAATCAAGGAACAATAAAATACATAGTACAAATTGGCGCATAAATCGATACTAATTGGAATAGTGACTGGAATACAAAGAAGCTTGATAGATAAGCTTTGAACACAATAAATACATTCAACAACAATTTTTGAAGACTTTCATGAAAAGCCCTGTAAAAAAGTATAATGGACATGCTTACAGGAGGTTAATCACTATCACTTCCAGACTGACAGCTTGACTAGTACTATTCATACAGGATTTGGAAATGTTTGAGCAATCATATAGTTACCTGTATGAACTTTCTTTCCCACAGAACTTGAAGAATCAAGACAGAAATGCCCACCATGTTGGTATAAATTTGCAAATATTTTCTTGATCTGGGATTGCAGTCCACATTGGTTAAAAGTAAAACACATTGTCAACTTAGTGGTAATGGACCCATTTGTTGACCTGGCTATTACAATTTGCATTGTTTTAAATACACTCTTCATGGCTATGGAACATTATCCAATGACTGATGAATTCAATGCTGTACTTGCAGTTGGAAATCTGGTAAGTCTGTAGGGTTTTCATGTTCATGATTTGGAAGGAAGTATGATGTAAATAACTGAAAGAAGGAGTTTTAACATATTTATTTATTTACTCTTTAGAAAGTAGATTTATTGGACATTTGTCAGCCTCTGGATAAGACTCTATCAGAACATTTTTGGAAATTCCACTGTCAACCTGGCCCATGTAACTTAAGACATTGTAGAATCAATAAAAGAGCTATCTAAAAGCATTTCTAGAATTTTCTTCCACAAAATACTTCATAGGGATATGTGGATTGTTTTCCTTACATGCTTTATGTATAACTATGAAAAATATCCTGTAGTACTTTTTCCTCTTAGTTTTTATATTTTTAATCATCAGATAATTAGTAATATACTTTTTTCCTCATGTTGTCAGCTATATTTTTCTCTTCTACTTCAAAAAGATAAATTATTAAAGAATTCAGGAGTTAAGCTGTTGTAGCTCTGATGGTTTTGAACTGACAAGTTTGATCACACAGCAGTGTCTGCAGCTACAGTCCTACTTTGTCTTCTATTGTAAGAATTGATTTCTTATAACGGGATTTTTAATAATCCTTGTGTTAAAATGAGGGAAAAAAAGCTCATGTAAGTAGCTACAAGATTTAGAAGGGAGAATTAATAGAGAAATTAAAAGCTGGTTTTCATATACTTAGAATAAGGGAAACTCTGAATCTGAATTTCCTAGTAAAATGTAAAATCTTGTATTGTGATATTTTAAAGACTTGTTTTTGTCCTGGTTTGAGCTAGGATGAAGCTAATTTTCCTGACCAAGAAAATGCTACATAAATCTTGATTGTATATGTGACTACAAAGGGAGCACAACAGAACCTGGCTGTAAGCATTATGCTCTTCCAAGTGCAGGCTCCCTGACAAACTCCTTATGCAATATGGAAGCTCTCACGGTTGGCTTCCTCCAGTAGTTCCCATTTAAAGCTCCTTGAGAACCCCACCATCCTGATCACTAGGAACCTAAGTCAGCGGTTCCAGCTGTATTTATTCATTCCTACCTCTTCCTCAGTGGTTCCAATCCTGTATCTTACAAAGTAGTAACCTCTTCTTCTCTGGTGTTCATATCTGGAATGTATTTAAAGACTGTAATAAAACCCAGCTTTGAGCATTGGTGTTCCTAGGCAAATAAAGTAAAACTTTTCTTGTCCATCTCTTGGTTATCCCAGTTAGATTACTCTCTTTAGCTGTCCCATTCTCTGTTCATCTTACTTGAAAATGGGTTATCAAAACCAAAACAGAAAACACTTCAGAGCTCAGGCAGCCTTCAACAGCAGCTTTACCACATTCCTGTTCTCCATGAAATTCTTCTAAGACCTCTTTCAAAGCTATTCAGGATCACTGCCTTGTTGGCTCCTAAATATTATTCCTACTGCATTCAGCACAGCATCCCATGATGAGAGACCATTACCAGCAACATCATGTTTAAAATGCCCTTTCATTCCTAACATTAAAGTAATCGAGCCAATCCACTGAACTTACTGGCAATACCCAGGTAGAAGTTCCTCAGCTTCAGCTGTTGATCTGTTGATCAACTGTTGATCCCCGTCTGGCATAAATAATCTTACCTCTGTTGAACTGAATATGATTATGGCAGGTGATACCAGCAAAGGAGCAGCCCCTCTAGAGTCTTAATTTGACCTCATTCATGCTGCTGTATAATGTAATTAGTATATCAAGAAAGATGTTGTATCATGTAATTTCTTGGAAAGCAATCTGGCTTATGTTGTGAAAATCAAGTTTGGGATATTATTTGTACAGTACATGAGAAAGTCCATATCCTGATATAGTTGAAATTGGATTATAAATGTCATAAACCAGAACTTTTTGTAATCTGTTCAGTATAACATGTAATTAATTGAAAAAATTACTTGTTTTATGTGGCACTTGTTAAGGGAAGATGGGCATAATAAACCACTACAGTACACTGAACTATTTTTATGTATCGGTTTTGGATAAGGCATTGCAGAATGTAGCTTGAATTAAAAACCTAAACAACAGCTAAATGTATAAAATGTTTCACAATGAAATAACAAACTTCATTTTGACTTCAGGTCTTCACTGGAATATTCACAGCAGAAATGTTTCTCAAGATAATTGCAATGGATCCATACTATTATTTCCAGGAAGGCTGGAATATTTTTGATGGTTTTATTGTAACCCTTAGCTTGGTTGAGCTTGGTCTTGCAGATGTGGAAGGACTCTCAGTTCTTCGATCCTTCCGATTGGTAAATACACATCAATTGCACTGATTTTTCAATGGAGCTTAATTAAAACATATGTGCCATGATACTGATCTTGATGTCACTTTCATTAGTACAAATCAATATTACTTGCAGTATTTTACTATCTTCAATAGGAATTGTTAAAGATCCAGACAAATATATAGCCTAGGCTTAGTTCCCATGTACTTTCTGTATAAACTTTAAACATCCTGCTATGCAGAAAATAAGATCAATTCACAAGATGATTTGCCTCACAGTAATACATCTGCTCTACAAATACAGATGATTTTACCATATGAACTCTAGATTTTAAATTCCATCTAATATGACCAATAGCTTTTTTGGCCTTTAGTAAGCATATGCTTTGAGGATATCAAGCTTTAATGTCACAAAATTTTGGTCACTGTTGCCTTCCATCTTCATGCTTTTAGACAAAAGGATACCTTCTGAACAGTCAATCTCAGAGCATATTTTGCAGTAATATCAATCCACAAATTAACTTTAAAATATCTTTGTGTCTATCTTGCTGATTGCCCTAACAATATTTTTCTTTTCTTCCAGTTACGAGTTTTCAAATTGGCAAAATCTTGGCCAACACTAAATATGCTGATAAAAATTATTGGTAACTCAGTGGGAGCTCTGGGGAATCTGACCCTGGTTCTGGCCATCATTGTGTTCATTTTCGCTGTGGTAGGGATGCAGCTGTTTGGGAAAAACTACAAGGAATGTGTGTGCAAAATCGCCAGTGACTGTGTACTTCCACGCTGGCACATGCAAGATTTTTTCCACTCTTTTTTGATTGTATTCCGAGTGCTGTGTGGAGAATGGATAGAAACGATGTGGGACTGCATGGAAGTTGCTGGTCAAGCCATGTGCCTTACTGTCTTCATGATGGTCATGGTGATTGGAAACCTGGTGGTATGTAATCAAAGTATTAGCAAAAAATTATTTGGCAATAGAGAGGGCTCAGTCCTGAAGTGAACTAAGTGCTCTGGCTCTGCTTCAACAAAACACTTAAGCAGATGGTTTCATATGATGCTTTAAGTTCAGCTTAAGAGCTTTTTTGGGTAGAGATCGAAGTACTCTGCAATGTCAAAATCCTAAGAATGTTAGAGTGAGTGCTTAGTCACAATCTTAATTTGTCTTTTGGCTCTTTGTAAATATTTTGTGCTTAGAATTATTTTATGGACTCAATACTTTTGCTGTGGATTTTTTTATTATTTATCCCATAAAATTAGTCACCTAAATAATCTACTTTCTGCTATGAGATGGGCTAAATTAAACTTTTTAATGACGCTGAATAGCAAATCTGTTTCCTCCATTTTTAGATTATAAAATTTTGAACCAAAATATTTATCTCCTATGGGGATTTAAAGACACATTTATAGATATTAGTCAGTTGTAGGAATATTTTTGAATAGTGAACAGGGCCTGAGCATTTTAAATTTAATTTAAAAGTTTTGAGAGTGCTTTTCTTTGGTAATGGTGAATTATTGGGATTTCAGTCTTTGATGTCACTAATCTGACAATTTTTTAGTTAAATAAATGTTCTTTGTTGGGAAAAAATCTAGAATGTTCTTTTTTTACCTTTCTGCAGGTATTGAACCTATTTTTGGCCTTGCTCTTGAGCTCATTTAGTGCAGACAACCTTGCTGTGACAGACGACGACAACGAAATGAATAATCTCCAAATTGCTGTAGCAAGAATGCAGAAGGGCATAGATTATGTGAAAAGAAAAGCACGTGAATTCATCCAAAAAGCTTTTGTTAAAAAACAAAAGGCTTTAGACGAAATCAAACCACTTGAAGATCTGAACAACAAAAATAGCTGTATTTCTAACCATACCACCGTGGAACTGAGCAAGGACCATGACTATACTAAAGATCCAAATGGAACTACTAGTGGCATAGGCACAGGCAGCAGTGTGGAAAAATACATAATTGATGAAAGTGATTACATGTCATTCATAAACAACCCAAGTCTCACTGTGACAGTGCCCATTGCTGTGGGTGAATCTGACTTTGAAAATCTAAACACAGAGGAATTTAGTAGTGAATCAGACCTGGAAGAAAGCAAAGAGGTATTTAGAAATTTTGTGCATTTCTCTCTGATCTTTTGAGCATTTTTCTTTCAGCATAAGACAGTGTATTCAGTTCTTGATAATTTTATTTTGGCACTTCTTCCTACATGGGTATACATCAGCGTGTAAATGAGGGTTTGATTCCTGATGAACACTAGTGTGAGAAAGGATTAAAAATTACAGTTTCTAAGAGCCGATAAGTGGCCTCACAGACTTTCAACAATTATAATCTGGACTTGCTGACATAAAAAGTGTAGCCTTCTCTGCTGATCAGTGCTTTTTTTCCCTCATTCCTCTGAGCTTCCCTTTCCTTTATGTAGTTATATTTAGGCTCTTAACCTGCTTTGCAAAAGATTCCTGCATATAAACTTAAGCTTCATTATTTCTATGTAGGTCAAGAGATTATTGCCAGTTGGGATAGTTGTGGTCATAAATCTTTGCAGGCTTAATATCATCATCATCCATATTTATCAGTTTAAAGACTAATTTTTTTTTAAGCCTTATCTATCACCGATCCACTCTCTATTTAATGGATCCATACAATGTAGAAGGAAAATGAAACTTTGTACGAACTTCACATAAATTTATTAGCTGCAACATTCAAAAACATGGCAGAATTATTTACTTATTCTGAAAAAAAACCTAATATTTGCCTTAAAAATATTTACTGTGCATTTGTGATGCTTCTTTTTTCTTTTACAGAAGTTAAATTCGTCTAGTTCATCTGAAGGTAGCACAGTTGATATTGGACTTCCTGCAGAAGAGCAACCAGAAGCTGAACCTGAAGAAGCCCAGGAGCCAGAGGCCTGCTTCACAGAAGGTGTTTAGAACAAAAATAATAATAAGAGTTATTTCTGAAACATGGAATAATTATCTTTTTTAACTAAGTATTAGCATTTATGTATTGGATTACTCTTTTTTAATGTTTAAACCATGCTTATTAGTGGTAGTACTTTTAGACCATAATTTACCATATGGATACTGATATCACTATTATGCTACATATCAGATAAACCATTAAGAAAATGTGTTTCCAGAAATTTATCATGATTTTTAAAATCTGAAAAATATATATATTTTTAGTACAAGCTACTGTGCTTTCTGAGTGTAGTTGCAGTCTCTTAGATAATAAAATAACACAATATTCTTATACAGCTCTTCACAGTTATATATCAAAGTGTTTTACCAAAACAATTGTCGAGTGGTAATAAAAACTGGACTTGTATGGTCCTGTGCAAAATGCTAACTGAACCTTTTGCAAATTGGCAAAAAGAGAAGGAAGATCCCTTGTAAGCCATCAGGGGCAAGAAAAGTCTCATCCAGTGCACTCATTCCTACTTCATGTACCTTCTCTTGGTTCTTTTACACAGCTCAATAAAACTTGAATATGGTCATAAGCTTTATTTGCAAAGGCATTTCATTGTGAGAAACCTTATAGATACATGCATGTGAAGGAGGTGAGGAAAGGAATAGATTTAAAAGAGTAAGGATGCAAATGCCATTTCTTTAGAAATTTACACTGAACTACTAAGAAGTAGGAACATCCTTGGATTTGGCAAAGAAAATACCGTTATTGTTTACTAGTATTTTTCTACCTAAATAAAAGAAGCAAGAAAATCAAGTCAGCAGCTAAATAATAAAAGTTTATATAAATTAAGGACACAAATTAGAGAAGTTAGCTGGTACTGAAAAGCTTACAAGTCAAATAGGAGGCTTTGAAATTTTTCATACAGTAAATGCAACATTGTCTGAATTTAGTATCCCTTTCTTTTTGTGTGAACTGTGTTGAGCACTTAGTTCTTGATAAATGAGAAATACTTTCTTGTCACTTGCTAATTTAATTGTAAATTCCTGTTGTCTCAGTGTTAATTTTTTTTTTTGCTTTGGAGAAAAAGGAGATCATTGAGGTGAAAATCTAGATGGAAAGGTAGCATTGCATCATTAAAAGAATGTATTACCAAAACTAATGCAGTTAAGCAAAATCTCTTATTTTTTTCCCTCCTCAATACATACACTGCTTTAAAGGCTGTGTACGAAGGTTCAAGTGCTGCCAAGTAAGTATAGAAGAAGGAAGAGGAAAGCAGTGGTGGAACCTTAGAAAAACCTGCTTCAGAATTGTTGAACACAACTGGTTTGAGACATTCATTGTCTTTATGATTCTCCTCAGTAGTGGAGCTCTGGTAAGTAAAACATAAACAGTGTCTCACAAAGTTGTCAGAAAACTTGTTAAAAGTTGGCTTTTCAAACATTCTTTTAATTTAGTTTTCTCTGCCAGAAAGAACATACAATTTCATGTCTTCAGATGACTGGTCTAAGTTTCAGTCAGGCCTTTGAAAGGATGGTAGAAGTTTTTTCTCAACAATATGTCAAAAAAAGAGCTGACATAATTAGAGAGAGCTTGCCTCCTTTGCTGAAAGTGATGGTTATAGTCCTAAAGCAGGTAGAGAGTCAACATGTAAATAAACAAACATATTTAACTTTGTTATTTGAGTTTGCTCTGTAGTTTTACTGGTGTTTACTGATATGACTCAGGTAAAAGAACTGTCATTGCTGAAAAAAGAAGAGTGTGGAAGTAGTAGCGGTAATGGCATAAACAGCTCATAATACCTTGCAAGAGCCAGAGATGTCTTTCACAGTCTTATAAAAGCTATATGCTAGAACAGCAAGAAAGATTAAGGCTGTGTGTTTGCAATTATTCCTATCTGAGAATAAGAATGTATTATTTATGCTTTTAATTTAACTTCTACTGACTCATACTCATGTAGTCTAAAGGGCTATCTGTAAAAACATGAAGTTACTTTAAAAAGTATGTGAGGGCAGAATTCCTAGTGAGTTGAAGTCCCTCAAACAAACTTCTTACCCAGAGATAACAGAGTATATCTAGCATGTACTCTGGTAGATGCAATTACCCTTTGGTAAATTACTCAAGTTCCTACATCAGAAAGCAAAACTGCATTGCAAAATTTTATTATGAAACCTTTAGACCACTCCCAGCTTTAATGTACCATTAGTGGTTAGTAGTTTATTATTATGCCCATCATTAGTTTTGATTAAATCTCCAGGAATCATTCTGCTTTTGTCTGTTTTAATATCAACACAAGTATCAAACAAGCAACTTTTATTCAACATCATGTGACACCTTCCCTGTGATTTGAAGCCCACAGAATTACAAAAGACTCATATCTACCCTATTGAATTGTGATTCATGCTATCAAGTGGAAAAAACCCTTAGTGACAAGAATTTAAATGAGAGACAAGTACTGTTGAGATAAAAGTTAATTTATTTCATTGTATTTAGAGGAAGTTTGAGATGAGATCCCACAGTGGTAGCATGTCAGTGCTTGTGAGCCTAAGGTGTGTGTCATCCACAGAACATTTATTGTGTGAAAATGCTTCAGAGATCAGGGATTAGCTCAAGCCTCTGGAGCTGAGAGACCCTGTTCTGTCTTCAGCTTCCTTTGTGAGAGTGAAAATTTCTCTTTGGGCCTGCCAGTACTGTACCCCAATGTTCACCCAGAGGCCACACACCATTTGAGTCTCATTACAGCCAGGAAATGTGGCAGGGCCAGACAGGCTGCAGGCTGCCTGCAGACCCCTGCCCGAGGGGCATTCAGGCAGGAACAGCCACACTTCCAGCTGCCAAGAGCATGGCCAGCTCAGCCTCTAGTAAAGAGGAAATGGTATGTGTGCTGGCTCTGTTAGTGATTACATATGAGTGTCAGGTACTATAGTGCCTGATATAAATACCCAAAATTACCAATACAGAGATGTTAATTTGATGATTGATAGACAAACACTAATCATTTGAACTGACAAATGTGAAGTGATTCGAAAGTGGGCTGGGTAAAAATGAATGTTAGTATCGATAAACATCAAAACCTTTGCAAGCTAGCAGGACCATTCCAGTTCTTTCAAGCCAATGAAATAAATTATTATCTGTAAGAAATAATAGCATAATTAACATTTCAAAGCAAAATGAAAACACACAAGAAGTGTTAATAACATTGCAAAGATCTCAGAAATTTTCTGTATTTCATAACATATGAATAATACAGTAAAGCATGTATTTGACTTAGTTATTTTTAAGAAAGGAAGTACTTGTTATGTGATTTATTACTTTAAATTTTCAAAAAGCAACAGAACTCAAAATCAACAGGTCAATTGCATTGTCATTTTCCTGAAAATTTTATAGCTATGGCCCTGGATTTTAAAAATGTATCTACCTACATACAAACAAATTGTTTCATTAGAGTTCAGTTCAGGCACACCACTGCAAAATAAATGCTATTTTTGAGTGCTGTGAAGAATAATTCACCATCAGCAATAAATAAACTAATATCTCTGGCCAGTGGAGTGGTTGCTATGAGCTGGAAAATATAGTTCTGTAGGGGAAAAAGAGGTATATAGGGAGTTAGCAGGAAAGAAAACATTAGATAAAAGTGACACTCCCATGCCTTTTTTTGAAGACAGATTGTTTCCTTTTTTCATTGCTTTTTTTGCTTATTTGGGGTTGGGGGTTTTTTTGTGTTTTTTTGTTACAACCTAAGGTATGTGCAGTAACAAAAGGGAACAAGAAATACCTTTGAATATTTTTACTCACAGGCTTTTGAAGACATATATATTGAACAGCGTAAAACTATCAAGACCATGCTGGAATATGCTGACAAGGTCTTCACTTACATCTTCATTCTGGAAATGCTGCTGAAGTGGGTGGCCTATGGCTATCAAACATACTTCACTAATGCCTGGTGCTGGCTGGACTTCCTGATTGTTGATGTATGTAGCATATTTTCTAGGTGTTATTTTATATTTACCTGATTTTTTTATTACTTGCTCTATAACCATAGTATCTATGTACACCAACTGTTTGACTTGTCGATTTACAAAGTAAGGTAGATGGAAAAATATTCCTTATTTTTGTGTCTTTTCCTTTACACCTACAACACTGACTTCCTATACCACAGTTAAGAAAGACTGGATATTCTCCTGCCACAAGTGGTTAAGGGTTTTACTACAACACTGCTGTTGAAAGAAGTTGTGCCGTACTCTGTTATGCTCTTGGCTGCTCATTCTCACCTTCAGACCCACCTTTCCCCATCCTGTGATCTGAGTTGCATACAGCATTTAGATGGGTGTCTGGTCCACCAGACATCAGACACACATCTGAATTAAAACTCCTCCGGCAAGAAAACTAACATCATGTCCACAATTTCAGCATATGGCTGAATTAGATATATCTGTAGCATTGGTGGTGTGACTTAATAAGAATTAAAGTAAAATAAGTATTGCTGAACTTGCAGTCTCAACAGCCATGTTTGAAACCAGGCTCAGTAATCTTTCCTGCAAGGGTCAGCTCATACCTCACTGTGCTGTGAAATGGGGGAGATCATTTCCTGATGCATTGATACAATTATGGAGAATTTAAGAGGTAATATTCTAAGCTTGCCCCCTTAAGAAAACCTCCAACAGGCAGAAACACATACTGTTTCCACAGTCTATGAAGTTCCTTATGTGAGAAACTAAAGTACTATGTTTTATACAGTTAAGAAACCACAACTAGTTGCTACATATTTCAGATAGAAATTTCTGGTAAAACTTCTAGTAAAAACAAGTATTAAATAAGATCAATTTTAAAATTAAGATGCATTTTATCATGATTTCACTTAGACACTGAACTGGTAAAAGAGGAACTTCATAAGCAGTTATTGACCCATGGAATTGCTAAAAATCCAATAGTTTCTCAGTGTGTTCTCAGCATGTAAGAGTTAATCAAAGCAGTTAATAATCTTGAGATTTGTTTAGTTACTGGTGCCTACAACCTTTTTGATTGGTATACATTATAGATTAAATATATCTAGGATTTAACTTCACATACAGCTACCAATTACCATGTTCAAAGAAAGTCATACAAAGGAAGTACACTTCTTTGAAAACACTTTTTTTTTGTTTAGTATTTAAATTCTTCTCAAAATAGGTATCTAAGTGGCAGCTCTAACAAAATAACTTGAAGAACCGTGCAAGCGGAAGCACCTGTTCCTTTTCTAAACTCATTTTCACTAATATTTGACGGTATTTAAACCATAATATTCCAAACCACCATCTTGTGAAAGCAAAAATTTGACTACTTCTTTGGGTGAATGTATAACACCCATCTGAGTGTCTGAACTAAGCTCATTATTAAAGCTTGGATTTACACACCTGGATATTTTCTTTGGCTTTAGATTACAGCATTTTGGAAGCTTAAAAGTTTTCAGCAATGAAAAAAAAAACATGATGCTGGAGAAAGAAAAAACTGTTAACTTTTTAAAACTAGAGATTTCACATGTAATGTTTGCTTTTAAATATGGTTCAAAAAGAGCACTGTCCTAAAGTTCAATTTGTCTGATGCATTGTTCTTTAAAATTAAAGAGTGCATGAGATCATTATACTATTTTTAGCACAATAAATAGTTAATGAATTAGAATAGCTTAATGAAGGAGCATTTAGGAGAAATGGAAAGAAGCCTAAGGTATTAGTTTGAACAGGAACTGTAGCAAATGCAGGGAATAGGACATTTCTCACTGAGGTAATGTAGAGACATAGACTATATAAATGTCCATGGAGATATGCTGCCTATGGAACTGTTCTTATAAGGTTCTTAAGCAGCAGCATAATCCAGGTTATTGATGTGCCTGTGGAACACATACATTCAGCAGCCAGGTAAAAGGATTATTTAACTGAATATGGAAAAAATTAGTATTTCTACCAATTTTCAGAGTATCCATTTTGCTTCTATCTGCTATTTCAAAATAGGCCTCAATCATTTCCCTTTCAGTTTGTGGGCAATCAAATGGGCATTATCAACCTTAACTACTAATCCCAACAGCAGTGTAAAACAAAGAAAAAGTGGGAGCAATACCTAAAAGGAGAGATAAATTTAATTTGCTTTTTGTGCAAATGTGGTTTTAAATGCCTTCAAATCAGCAGTAGAATATGAAAATCACAAATAATAATGTTTCTAGGTATTGACTGTAATCTTGTGATTTTTTCTTCGTTTACCTATCATACTATTCTTTCATATTATTTCTTTTTTTTTTTTTAAATTTAAAGACTTCCTATTCCTGAAGAAAGTGGTTCAAAATTAGATTCTTCTAAAGAAGTTTATATCTCACATCTATGGTATGTAACAAAGTATGTACAATATAGTAATTTTTACTTTCCTGTTTTCATATAGGTCTCTTTGGTTAGCTTAACAGCAAATGCATTGGGTTACTCTGAACTTGGTGCCATTAAATCCCTTAGGACACTAAGAGCTTTGAGACCTCTAAGAGCTTTGTCACGATTTGAAGGCATGAGGGTAAGACAACATGGAAGAATCTGAAATTATGCATGCATAGAAGGACTCCATGCATGCAGAATAAGGAATGATAAGTCCATGCAGAAAGGCTGCACTTTTTATCTATTGCATATCTCTTACTAACAGATAAGCAAAAAGCTTCATCAGTTCACCTAAATCCATATGCAGTATCACATAGAACTTACATTCATTAAGGTTACTTTACTTTCTAGCCAATCTCAGGAGTTTTTCGTATCAGGCTTTGAAATTACCAGCGATGAACTCTCTCAACAGATGCTTCATAATGAAAAAAATTTAAGAAGATTTTACTAATTATTGTTCTGATAAACATATCACAGTACTTATACAGGAATCTAATTTAGCATTAGTTAATAAAGATTCTTTTCCTGTTATCTGTTGAAATCCTTAATTTTCTTCCTATTTGATAAGCCACCTTTGGTCTAACGCCACAGAATTTTACTAGATAGTACCAGAGATAAATTCATGCCCACTAGTGTTTTAAATCTATTTCTGAGTTTGGCTGGCTTCTAAAATAAATCATTTTTTTTTCTCTATGAAATTATTATTTTTCAAAGGTAAATGCTTTTCTTATGTAAACAAAATGCTATATAATATTCAGTAAAATGTATACAAGGTTATTTCTTACTTATTCTGAGCAATTTAAGACGCCCTGCTTACTATTCATCTCACTCAAAAAAGCATTTTAACTTATTTTTTCATTTGTGTATAACTTCTGTTCCTTAAAGCCACTGAATACAAACTAACTCTATATGCATGTCACTGAAATATGTTTTAAGATAACGCTTTTTGCTGCTTCATGGAAACAAGAGGAAACAATGTGCTAATGAATTTCGAGTCAATTATAAACTGGTGGAATAGCCTGGAATACACTGTCTGAACAACCTCTAGATAAAAATCTAAGTTTAATCAAGTAAAATTGAGGTTTAGAGTTCTGTTCCTTCAATTGTATTCAATTGTATGCAGAATATTGTTAACCAATTACTACTAGATTAATAAGTTGCAACTTAATATAGTAAAATAACTTTCAACAGCTTTCTCATTTGAAATTCATTAATTGATATTCAGCAGGGTAAGAGCTGGTCAAGTACTAAGGACTGTATGAATTTTCATTGAAGTTTAGAATGACTATTTGATTTAACCATTTCTCTTTTTCTTACTGTTCATGAACATTCAGATAAATGTGGTTTTGTGCAGAGAAATGTTGGGAAATTGCTGACAGCTTTACTTTTAAAATACTGTTCTGATTAACTGCAGGAGGACTGGGAGATCAGTATAGAAGTTATATAGGGACAAGAAATGCAGCTGTTTAGATGAGGTTGGAAAAAAACAGATAATGTCTAGAAAGATGATGTCAAATTTGATTGCCAAATGTTTTATTAAATTTTTATGTATTCTAGCATTATTATCTTAGTAAATTTTGCTCTGAAAATGTTTGGGATATTCCTGCTCAAAGATAAGTACCTATTATTTTACATCTGCTTTCCCTTATTTCTCACTGAATAAGTATGAAACTATATCAGAAGTTATATAATAGAATTTTCAATACATAACATGAATAATTCATGAGCAATTTACTGTGTAGGAGTCATGGATGAGCCTGGATAAGCAGAAAAATTTTCATCTTGGTCCTCCAATATTAAAGATAATCAAGGAAGTACCTGATTCCAATCACTTAGTAAATTTGACTGGCCAACTATATAGGCCTTATCTTTACTTCAATTCCAAAGCACTTGACAAGTATTCACAGCAGCTCATTGAGAGACAGTAGCATTGCTTTATGAATGACTCACGAACAGTAAAAAGATTCAAAAAATAATAATTGACCAGCTCATGATAAGACTATAGACAAATTAGCAGTCTTCTCAGAAACTAAGTTCACTTCATAAAAATCCATAAAAGCAGATTCTTTCATCTGCCAGAAAGTAAAAAGAAATCAGCCCTCTTTGCTTTCTTACATTGCCTTTACCTACACTGCGCTGTGACAAAACACAGCTGAGATTTTATTCAGCATGTATTAATAAATGTATTTTGCCTTTAAGAATATGAGAGATCATTATGTATTACATGAAAGTCCTGGTATTTAAAAAGCTCTGTATCATTTTGCAAAACAATGCTAATTTCTCAGATACTTTAAATCAACATTTTTCTTAAATAAGTTTCCCATTAGAGGAATATAGCATTTTACATAGTTAGTAAATACTGATAACTATTCTGTTATCCCTAAATATGAAACATAGTTCACTTTTAAAGTTATATTCTTATAAGTCTAAAGTTTTACTCTATAGTTACAACTTAATTTTTTAATAATGGTGTTTCATAAATGGGATAAATTTTCTTTCCACAGTCAATATAAGATAAAATAATCGCTTGCACCAACACAGGGTACAGATGGTCCATAGCATGTACTTGCCTTGATCAC